TGTGAGTTTGGAAAATTGCACAATATAAATCTATTTTAGTAGACCTCAACAATGGAATTATGATCAGTAGAAATGGCCATGACATGGGACCTTTAAGTGACAGTCACAAGCTGACTTTAGCAAACGTTTGTTAGGTCAAAGTCAAAAACTAACATCAGCTAATGGATGTTTAATGAAAGTCACAAGCTAACACAAGCTAACGTTACAGAAAAACCCATCACTAATTTACCATAACTTTGTATTACAATAGAGACTGCCATTTGTCTGTCTCTACATTATCACTTGCTAGAAACAGAAGTAGGTACAAACCTTTATTTAATTTAAGAAACTGGCTCCCTCTGCTGTATGTAGAGGACCTATGTTTTGGAAGATTGTTCAAGACAGAATCAAAACTACCCATCAGTGTGGATTTAACCCAGCTAAATAACCAACATTCTCAATCCAGAGTTTGATCTGTTTGGTATTTTGAAAACAGAAACGTATAAATATACCTTATATAGGTATGGCCCTGCAATATATCATTTAAATATAGCATGATACTGTAGGTCCACTTTAACTATAAAATGAATGTAGCGTTTGTAACCCCACCCCACTATGTCAAGGGGTGAACTCAGAGGCATGAACCCAAATGCACAACTCAGACTTAGACTCAGATGGTTGCAAAAATAAAGTACTTTACTGGGTATTTCACAGTAACAAAACAGAGAACAAAAAATCAATCTTTCGAGGAAAACTAAAAACTACCATATGGAGCTTGAAACAAAAATAACAAACATGGAACAGGCTTGAGGGTACGCTGGTATATTGAGTCATGAGAAGAGACAAACTGGCACAGGACAGGTGTAGACTAAGACAATATATACACACAAGGCAAGGGGCACAGGTGGAAACAATCAGGGCGGGGTAAACAATCACAAACGCAGGAGACACATAGGGGCGGGGAGCACAGTGACCTGAAACGAGAGGGAGAATTACTTTTCAAAATAAAACAGGGAAAGCACAAGACAAAGGGACATGACAAGAGCTCATTTAAAGAATAAACCTTAAAATAATCTTTCGAGACATGACACACTATTGCAACTGTAATATCAGATAAAGTATATTTCATAAATATTAGTAATCTCACAGTGTTGTTAATTTTACTAAGGCTAACCAAAGGGATATTTCTCTTTATTCATCTGTTTTTTAAGCTTTATATTTAGTTTATATTTTCTGTGACAACAACATGATGTGAATAACTCGTACATTTGCTACATTACAGAAAACAAAGAAGGACCTTGTTATTTTGCTGCTGGCACAGAATAGTTTAAACACTTCCTTCTCAAATGCATTGTGTGCTAATATCAAGGCCTGGTCAGCCAACCCCAAACTATAAGGCTTTCTAGCAAGATGTTCTCTCAGTAAAAAACAATGCTGCCATAAAGATAATGTGTCTGTGATGAAGCTGTCCATACATGATGGCCAACCTCAAGTATTAATACAGAGAACACCACATCACATTGAAACTGCTTGATCTCCGTCTGTAGTAGAATGTTCTAAAACTAACGTTATCTAATGAATGTTAATGACAGTCACAAGCTGACTTTAGCAAACGTTTGTTAGGTCAAAGTCAAAAACTAACATCAGCTAATGTTTAATGACAGTCACAAGCTATCACAAGCTAACGTTACAGAAAAACCCATCACTAATTTACTATAACTTTGTATTACAATAGAGACTGCCATTTGTCTGTCTCTACATTATCACTTGCTAGAAACAGAAGTAGGTACAAACCTTTATTTAATTTAAGAAACTGGCTCCCTCTGCTGTATGTAGAGGACCTATGTTTTGGAAAACTGTTCAAGACAGAATCAAAACTAGCCATCAGTGTGGATTTAACCCAGCTAAATAACCAACATTCTCAATCCAGAGTTTGAGAATATAAAATAACCCAGCAACAAATGTAATCAGACCAGGAACAATTCATATTATATATTTCCAATTTATCAACAGTCTGGTAGTCTTTTCTTGTATTGGGACAACGCCGAGGGTTGTGCCAATATATCTAGTTAAATTAGGATGAGGTCAAATATATATATTTAATTAATATTTTTGTGAGATAACTCACTTCCCTCAACTTTTCCAGTGAAAATGTTTGAGTTTGAAATCACAAATGTTCGTGATGAAAGCTCAGTTATGGTTTTACTGGCCTGGGTCTGTTTCCTGAGGGATGCTGGTATTAATATTGTTTATATAAAATGACTGACTGTACGCCACTGACTAACTCAAAGACAGACCTTATACTCAACTTTTGGAAAATCAGCAAAACCATTACCATGTTTATTTCAAAGTGACATTACTTGATTGTCAAACTGTTTCACATCCTCACTTTATTATTCAATCTGACGTTGTTAAACAATTAATTTTTAACAATAGTTATTGTTATAATTGTGATTTGTCCTATAACCTGTAAAGCTGTGTTGACCTCATCAACGTTGGTTTCCATTCGTGTTAAAGATCTTGACTTTAAAGCCAAATCATTTATTTTCTATATGTACATTTCAACCATTTGAGGTTCAGGATTATAAAGCTGATCAACTGTCTCTGTCTCAGAGTTAGTCGTCTCATAACTGTAAGTGTTTGTCAGTATATCTGAAATTACTAGGTTAGCTACGTTAGCTAGCTAGCTTACAGCAGAACGTCAGTAACATCAGAAGGAGTCATGTGATCACTTTGTTAAAATAAGACCATCAAACATTTCAGGTGAGTTTCCAACAACTGAGACAGTTGCAATTACAATTTAAATAATTAGTTATTAATTATTAATAGTAATATCAATTCCTGTTTGCAGTCTGAATATTGAAGAACATGTGAAATGTATGTCTGACCTGCAGAGCTGCAAATACATCTTTTTGACTTATACCCCTTTCACACCAAGGCTTTTCCCGTTCTAGCTCCATGCTAGAGCTTTTCTGGTTCAGAACCGGTTCTTCGGTTCAGCTCCCGCTCTGTTCACACCGCTCAGAACCCGACTGGTGCTGCCGCTGCTGCGTCATGACGTCACCGTTTACGTCGCTGATTTTCTCCCCAACGGCGCTAACTACAACAACAATGGGGGACTGCGTCGGGTCGATGATCGTGTTGCTTTTAATCATACGAAGCCAGATTAGATTAAATAACGACTTCTCCAACCTTATACTTTTCTCCAGAGTGCCGTGGTTCATTGTTTATTAATGTGTTTCAGCGGCATTTAGCGACCGCTGCAGTGCTGGCTGCTCTTCCACGGGAGTGTATTCTCCCGTTAGCTCCGGGTTAGCTCACACGGCTCTAAAGTATTCACTGTCTGACTGTCACACAAGCAGCTAATACATATCCCCAGTTCCCCTTAAGTGAATGTGTGTCAGTCTGAATTGACGCTGTTTGGCATCACAACGCTGTTATGAAAGTTTCTCTGGTATAACATGGGTGATGTTAGCATAGCAACCGAAGCTAAACTGACCATAACTTGACCACTTGTTGCTATCCTATTGTGGCATAAGCCGTTTTCTACAGGCACATTTTACCGGCGTATTTTTTATTATGATTCTACTTGTGATAGTCGGACATGACAACCTGTGCAGCCCATGTATTGATTCCATCCGATAGCTGCTATAATACAAAACAAAACGTCTGCCTGCTCTCCACAATGATCAATAACAGCGAACGGATGGTCAAAGTAAGGTACAAATAAACGGAATCACACGAAGCCTGGTTAGTGTTGCCTGACTTTATAAAGTGTGTTTGTTTATAAGTGTGTGGTTGCGTTCTAGTCACTTTGCTCAGCAGTACTGCTTGTTACAACTTGCCGTACTCGCCTTTAACTGTTAGCTCAGGTTAATCTCGCCCCCCTCCGACGTAAGCGTGACGTATGCGGTTCTTGCTTCTAGACGGACAACTTTTTGGTGCTCGAAACGAACCGGATTCCGGAGCTTAGAGGCGGCTCCGCTGCGGTGTGAACAGGAAAAAACGGTGCTTTTCAGGCTCTAGCTCCGAACCGGCCCTGGAACCGCGTTGGTGTGAAAGGGGTATTAGAGACTTTGTACTTTTGTTTGAAATATTTTCAAAGACAGACCTCCTTTGCTTCTGAAATACAAATTATTCAAAGGATTGTCGGCATATGCACAACAGTTACAGCATAGTTTTGGCTCCTCCAACAATTCATCATGAAAGATACTTAAGACGCTAGGAGACATTAAATAGTTTGAGTGAAGTAATAGTGAAATGAAAATGAAGAAATAAGAAAAATATTGATCTATAAATTAAGAGTAAAGTACTGTACATTAAAATAAGCACTGTATACTATAAGATATATAAATAGGTGCAAAATCGATCTGATAATTTGTACACATACTTATATTTGTAATGAACCATACTATACTTCAACAAAAGAAGCATAAACATGTGAGAATCAAACTTTATTAATGCAGCTAAACATCCACAATGTCATCAGAAAAGGAGAGAAATCCATAAAACCCACAATCAACGTGTGAAAAAAGGTAATAAACCCTGTAATTAAAACTACAACATAATCGATCCATGTGATAAAAGTAATAAAGAATACATCTGTGGCTCAGGAGTCGGTAGGACGGTGGTTCGATTCCCAATGCCTGCAGTCATCAAGCAAGATACCAAACTCCAAAGTCCGCCCGATGTCAAAGATTGCGTGGAAAAGAGTTTCCTCAAGATCCTCAAGAAGAAAGTCAAATTGTATTTAGAAAATGACTTTGCTTTCCAAAAACAAGATGCTTTTATTATTTGAATTTCAATATTTGTTCCATTCTCAGTAGAGATGAGACTACCATTATTCATATACTGGCTGTGATTAAGGGCATGATTTTCAATGGATCTGCCCTACGAACTAACTTGTAGTTATTGAGAGAAACTTCACAATCAGTAAGGAAGTGCTGAAGAATTGTAACAGCGTCCACATAACAGGACACAACAGAGTCATCAGCATAGAGAATGATATAACAGTCACTTAGTAAAGTCAGGTCTCAACTTTATTCAAGCACAGAGTGAACATATCCAGATGTGTTACAGGAATCTGATGTTGCTTCATCTTTATAACCATCAGCAATATTTCCAACTAAATGGTGTTAACAGTGATTCTCTCAAACAAAACAAGTTCTGCAGCTTTTTATTCATGAGCTATGAGTTCTGCACAAAGAAGGAAATAAACAAATGCTGAATTAAGCGATAGGATATTCCCAACATAATCAAAATGATACATTTAACAAAACAGATATTCTTTGTCTTTCACTTAAACTATGATTTCATAGTTCATCATTCTAATGTTGATAAAGCATGTCTGATCTTGTCCTGAACAGAAAAACCCACACCGCTTTCATGAGAGAAAAGACTCCTCTTGTATTCTCTAAATATAACTCACTTTAAAATACTGTTTAAAAAAAGACAAAGCAAAAGCAACCGGCTCTTGAAGAACCTTATGTCCTAAAATAATGAACATAAATTCAACAAAATAAGCAACTATTTTCCCCCCATTATGTTTATACGTGTTGTATTTCAACATCAGTTTTGACAGAGCAAGTGCCGGATATATAACGCTTGAGTATATGTTACTACAATAGAAAGTTCCTATGAAGAAATATTGTTCAACTGTTCGTAAAGCATCGGCTTTAAACAGTTTGAGAAGATGATGAAATCAACATTTACTGATAAACAAAAGTCACTTTTTGATATCCTCATTTCTTCTGGTCCCTCTGAGTTTGAATGAATGTTTGATTCTGTGAAGCACGTTAAAGTTAGAATGGGATGTTAGGTTGCCATTTCAAACTTTAGAGCGACCAAGAAGCTAAGAGTTCTTCATCATTGCCTTAGTGGGAGAAGTTGGGAAATGTTGACCTCTCAGGTGTTCAACAGGTTTACCCGCTTCATACCAGACAATAACTGCTCACAATGTTAATGGATGGGAACTCTAAACAGAATACAGTGAACACCACTCCCCAGAATACTTAATCATACACGCTAAATTGTAGAAAGCAATAATAAAAAAAAGTCCCTGTCCCTCTGGGTTTGGATGCATTTTTAATTTTGTGAAGTAAGTTAAAATGGGATGTTAGGTTTCCATTTTAGACTTTAGGCAGACCAAGAATGGCCGACTGTGTGTAGATGTGTGTGAACTCAGGCTACTGAGCAGGTGTATGACAGCCTCTGCCTCTATGAATGTGTGTGAATGGGTGCCAATGTAAAAGCGCTTTGATGGGTCGTAAAGACTGGAAAAGCGCTGTATAAATCCAGTTCATTTAGAATTCAACTGGACACAGGTAGGCATAGTTGTTATCATAATAAGCCCAGAGGCCTGGGAGAAGAGGCCCAGTGAATGTGGTGCGAAAGGTGTACAGGTGACTCAGTGTGTGGCCGGAGACTCTGTAGAAGGACAATGTGCCAGCAGGCCAGTCCAGATACACCCCGAATCTACTGAAGCCACCAGAGGGATGAGGTACATCCCACACCCTCTTGTCGGCATGGTATGCCTTAAGAAAGGTTCCTTTGCCGAAACACCAGGATTCTGAATTATACCCAAACCCGCATTTTCTGTCAGCTCCCTTGTATGCAACAGCTCCATAAACAGACTCCTCGGTACCGGTACTCCACTCTACCTCCCAGTAATGGCACTCAGATAACTTCTCTTTGCACAACACCTGTGGCTCTGTTCCATACCTCTCTGGATGAGAAGGATAATCCTGCCATGCTCCACACGTTGCCTTCTTGTTTCCGACAGACAGAGTGAGATAGCCGCTGGCAGTGTTTGGGTCCAGGTTGAGATCACAGGCATCTGATGGAGAAAACATGACAAAATATCTTATCAGTAACTTTGATGGTCAAACTGCTGGAGAATTCACATTTTTGACTAAAACAAGCCTGACTTACACCAGATCAGATCTCTCTTGTGTGTGATGGTCTCCACAGAAGAAGGCTTTTGACGTTGAAAGTCTTCAGTGACCAGCCGGCCTTTCTTGTAGTGGTAGATGGTTGCTCCTTTGTAGTTGTCATTGGTTTTGGCCGTTATGAGGAAACGGAATTTGCTGTTGTTCTTCAGCGCTTTGGCAGCACCCTGGAACATTTTGGCTTTTTCTCTCATTGTGTTCAGAACTTTTTTGTAGTAGTACCACTGGTCTTCATAGGTACTTCCTAATTTGGTTGATTTCAAGAAGTCAGCCATCTCATCAAGGTAGATATCACCCTTTAACATGGAGGTGAAAACAAAGCACAGAACATCCTCTACACCTGGAGTAAGGACCTCTCTGTCCAGCTCGGTCTGGTTCAGGACGATCTTTACTCCCTCCATGGTGTCCACACAGGACCTGATGACGTTGACTTCTCTCTCTTTGTTTTCCAGCCACTTGTTTAGTTTTTCATGGTTGAAGGGTGACTCGTGCCCGTCTTCAAATACTTCTTCCAGTGAGCTCTCATCTTCCTTTCCTGCTCGGATGGAGGGAAGTTTCTCTGCCATGGCTTTCTGGATGTTGGTTTTATAATAACCACACAGTTTGAGGAAAGTGCTCAACTCTTTGTGAAGCACGGGGAAACTCTCTACCACTTTGTTTTCCAGAGAATCTTTGCATCTCATTTGTGCTTCCTTTAAATCTTCCAGAGCATCTTGGGCTTTCCTCACTAGTCCAACGCTGATCTCTGTCTTCAGCTTAGCTGCTTTGGGATAAAAATTCTTCAGTGGCATCAGCCAGACCTTCACTGGGACCGAATTCTTTCTCTTTGTTCTCAGTAGCTGTGGAAGTTGTGAGTAGGTCTGCACTGCCTCTACAAAGGTTGCTGGGTTGCTTTTGAGAATGAAGTCTCCGTAGAATTTGCAGGAGAATGTCTTAGTCAGGGCTTCCTCTTCATCAGTCAGCTTGATGTCAACTTTCCCCTCAACATCAAATGAAGGAATCTTCTTTATCACAGCTTGCATGCTGCCCTCTATCTTCTGAACGTGGCTGGCTTCTAACTTCTCACTGTCAAACACAAAGAAAGCATTTGCCCCATACAGGATGCCTGTGACTACATGAGTCGCCAAGTCCTTCTTAATAATCTCCTTCTGTTTGGGGTTCAGGGTCAAATCATCAATTGACAACTGCTTTAAGTTGGTGGTGGCTTTGTACTTACAGGTCACTCTGCTCTGATTCTTGAATTTCTTCTCATCTTTCAGATATTTGGCAGATCCTTCAACTTCTATCAGTCCACTCAGGAAACTGACCTTCAGAGAAGCTTTAATGTCCATCAGAGTGGACTTGGATTCAATGGAGTCAGATGCAGACATTGCAAAAGAACTGCTGGGCTGAGGGGTTTCAGATGTTTTTTCTTCTAATGTTTTATCATTCCACAATCTGGGACCTAAACAAATTGGAAAGCAAACAGTTTTCGGATCAGTTCAGGGCAAAACCTTTATTTATATAAATTATAATAAAACTTATAATTTCAAAGCTTTACAGGTTGCAGCTCCATATCCTGCCAGGAGTTTGTGTGTCAACCTGGTCTCACCAGAATGCGTGACTCCACCACGACTCCTTAACACTGCATTGCGTGGTGGAGTCACGAACTTTGCTACATTTACGTGTCTGCACCACGCAAACAACCCCAATGTAAAGTGAATGAGGCTCCTTTGTCGTGGTGCACACACGCATTTCTACAACGTCCCGCAGTGAGCTTTTATTCTATAAAACATTTTTAAAATCTACTTTATAGCTTGTAGTAACTCACGGGAGGCTTCTTTTATTTTATTTGTATTCATAATAATTTTTATGTTTCGTATTTACCAATTTTTGTTCTCAAAAAACAGTGCATTGTGTGTAATACAACTGTGATTTTTATTAAATTAGTTAGTTTTTAAGGAAGGCCAGAGCTTCAGCTGTGTCAAATAGATTGTTCCCTTTAGTTAACGTTATTTAAAAGATAATTATATTCCTATTTGATCATGTCCCCTTTATTGTATTACGGACCCAAAGAGCGATGAGCGTCCATTCCCATTGGATAACAGAGGATTTTACACCCGGAAGTAAGTATTCTCCTTACTGTCGATTGATTTTACAGTGATATCTGCACTACTCATCAACTCAAAAACACCAGATTATCCTTGTTAATTACATAACATTGATTGGTTTAAATTGTGTACAATGCTTTTGGATTTTCCCCTTTCGATTCAGAGAAACAAATATTTGTTCGTAGTGTGTGGATGGCAGAAGACACTACACTACCCAGAATCCTCAGCTATGGGACTACACCATGTGCTAAGAACGTGTCCTACCCCCCCCCCCCCCCCCCCCCCCCCCCCCCCCCTTAGGTCACAGGCTCCTCCAACAGTGCAACACAATAAAACAGATACACAGACAATATAGTGCAGTAAATACAAAAATAAAAATAGTAAAATAGTAAAAAGTGAAATAGTGCAATAAGAGTATATACAAGTGATTGGAATATGATATATTAGATAAATAATTTCTAAGTAGCAGCCAGATGAATGTTATGGAGGTTGTTTCTAAGTTCAGGTGTTTAATAGTCTTATGGCCTGTGGGATGAAGCTGTCCCTGAGTCTGGTGGTTTTAGTCCGGATGCTGCGGTACCGCCTGCCAGACGGCAGCAGACAGAACAGTTTGTGGCTGGGGTAATGGGGGTCTTTTATAATCCTGAGGGCTTTCTTTAAGGTTAACCTGGTATTTTTACTACATTTATTTTAGTTACTTTACAGATTTGGATTAATGATGTGAAATATAAACAACCCTTAAATCAGACTTTAGTTACACCTGAGTAAAATTCAGTGAAGGTGATTGTCAAGTGCCAACAATCAGGCGAGATATTTGATAGTTGGTGCTTGAGAAGACAAAAAATGTATCTGCAGATCCCTATAAAGTATATTCATTACTCGTTATTCTCTAATTGTTCATCAAAAACTGTATATAATGGCTATTTTGCACATCCCTTTCAAGATTTCAAGATTTTCTAAGGTTCATTGACATATCATATACACAACTAAGGTTATGCAATGAATGAAAAACTTGGGTCACAGGTTCCTCAACAGTGCATTACAAGACATCTATCGATATCTGTGTACCTCCACCATTAAACATATTCTGCACATTTCTTATACTATCTACATACATCTTATAAGAGTATAATCAATATGTATAATATCAGTTAAAATAAGTGCTTCAACATAGTTAACATTGCAGGAAAGTTGATTGTCAAGTTCCAAAACAAACCATGCAATATATTAGACGTTAAGTACTTTGTCAGGCTTAATATCTGTAGATACCCCCAAAGCTTTTTTCTTATTTAAAAGAAGACCTTAACCTAAAGTATTCTTTAATGTTTAAATAAAGCCTTATTAGTTTGTCTGTTTTGCACATCCTCCTATCAGGCACTAAACTGTTTTATTGTAGAGATCACTTACAGTATCTTCTTGATATTTTCTATTCTATATTATTTATATCATTGACCTTCCACTTTCCCACTATATTAAGAGTATGTACTCTTAATATTTAAATGTTTTCATCAAATATAACACATTCAAAAGTGCTTTACAAAAATGAAAGACATTAAGAAAAAGGCATTTTAAAACAGTCATTAAAAAGCAACACAATCTACCTGCATTGCATTACTCTAAACGTGTAATAACGTGCTTTAACCAGTAGGAGGTGCAGGTTAAAAAGCTGTCAAGTTTACAGTGTTAACAAAATAAAATATACTGCTGTTTCTGGTTTAGTTTACGACGGATATATTCTGTTATTGTTTTGATATTTGTAACACAAAAGCGATGTAAAAAACCCACAGCAACACAGAAAAGATGGTCTTAACATGACCCAGCGGTCTAGTAATTAATAAAAAACAATAATATCAAAACAAATTATTACTACTAACTTTATTGTGAAATTAAAACCGAACGGTAAAATAATAGTTTCCGGTCTATTCTGAGGCCCGATCTCTGTAGATAAATAAAGAACTACGACAGATGTGTAATGTTTAATGCAGCCAAACCATTCATTACAATGCATTCATGTGATGACTTTCAAAGAGTAAAGCAAGCACTGCTGAATAAAGTATGATTTGATCTTTTACGAAACGTTTTTTTTCCATATGGAATGCAGTTGGAGGTCAACCAATCACAGAGCTTGAGGCAAAGCGGAACAATAGCTGAGGATTCTGGGTAGTGTAGTGTCTTCGGCCATCCTAAACTCTGAACACATATTTGTTTCTCCGAATCGAAGGGGAAAATTATAAAAGCATTGTACACAATTTAAACCAATCAATGTTGTGTAATTAACAAGGATAATCTGGTGTTTTTGAGTCGATGAGTAGTGCAAATATCACTGTAAAATCAATCGACAGTAAGGAGAATACTTACTTCCGGGTGTAAAATCCTCCGTTATCCAATGGGAATGGACGCTCACATTGCTCTCTGCGTCCGTAATACGTGGTGCAGACACGTAAATGTAGCAAAGTTCGTGACTCCACCACGCACTGCGGTGTTAAGGAGTCGTGGTGGAGTCACGCATTCTGGTGAGACCAGGTTGTTGTGTGTGTGTGTGTGTGTGTGTGTGTGTGTGTGTGTGTGTGTGTGTGTGTGTGTGTGTGTGTGTGTGTGTGTGTGTGTGTGTGTGTGTGTGTGTGTGTGTGTGTGTGGGGGGGTATGGGGCAGGACCTTAATCTCACAACACAGAAAAATGAACTTTTTGTTAGATATCAAAAAATGTTTCATACGTAGCCATTTTACTCTTCTGTACTCTAGCATTCGATATTTAAGAAATCTAGATTACAGAGGAGATCTAACCTAAAGTGATTTCC